GAAATCAAGCTTAAAGTACAACTTCAATATCGAGCGAAAGCCAAAAAGCTGAGAGAGATTATCCTGCAGTTTAAAGACAAGGAGAATTACCTGGAAGTTCTCAAGTAAGGGGCAAAAATTAAGGCTTAGAAATGAGAGATTCAGTTTGATCAGTAGTTCTGAAAAGACCCAAAAGTTAGAATTACCTTGTACAGCATAATAAACAGTACCACAGGAAAGTACTGCTCAGTAGCTTTCATTTGAATGGTCACACCATAGGATTTCATCCACAGACTCAAAAGTTGGAACCACCTTGTACAGCATAATAAACAGTACCACAGGAAAGTACTGCTCAGTAGCTTTCATTTGAATGGTCACACCATAGGATTTCATCCACAGACTCAACAGTTAGAACCACCTTGTGCAGCATAATAAACAGTACCACAGGAAAGTACTGTTCAGTAGCTTCCACTTGAATGGTCACACCATAGGATTTCATCCACAGACTCAAAAGTTAGAACCACCTTGTACAACATAATAAACAGAACCACAGCAAAGTACTGCTCGGTAGCTTTCATTTGAATGGTCACACCATAGGATTTCATCCACAGACTCAAAAGTTGAAATCGCTTTGTACAGTATAATAAACAGTACCACAAAAAGTACTGCTCAGTAGCTTTAATTTGATGGTAACACTATAGGATTTCATCCACAGACTCAGAAGTTAGAGTCATTTTGTACTACATAAGATACACACCACAGGAAAGTACTGCTCAGTAGCATTTTTGAAACGGTTTTGTGAATTTTAATTTTTCAGAAGCGTCGGTGAATCAGCGATTCATGATGCCTGCAGCGTGTTTAACACAACTCAGCTACAGTCTCAACGCGCCTCTTTCCAGGATCTTGTCCGCAAAACCCTGGGTCGGAGATTTGAAACACTCTGGGCAGACGTGGAAGATTTACAGGTGCTGTGCTGTCTCGTACCTCGGCGCTTCTTAGCATTTTCGACCGCAAACGCACAAGGGAAGGGTTTCAATGACGGCCCTTGCGCCGCCACTATCCCAGAAAAGTCCCAAGAAGAGCCCGGGCAAGAGGCAGGGTGCTATGATAAAAAATCTTTGTACAACTGTAAAAATTAATTTCAAACATCCCAAACTGATCCTAGGGTTATTCGTTGTCCCACTGCTTATTTTCTATATTTGCGGGTTGATAAAGGAATGGGTCGCATAAGCAACGTTGTAGTGAGGATATACAGAATCTCTTGGCAAATGGTAATCGTATCTTAACTCAAAAGCCAAACTGCTAGGCAAAAAGGAAAGGAATTTAGGATTTTGAAAGGCAACGTCAATAAATGAATAACGCGAGAAAATAAATACAGGTCTAGATATTAGCAGTCAACGACTGAAGATCAGTTTGTTTTAGAAAAACGATTTTTGAAGTGCTAATTGCGAAATGAGCACACTACAGTATTTTCACGTTTCTTACTGGAGAGATCGCCAGTTTTATGTCCTCATCGGAGGCCACGCCAAAGTTATTTCTTAGTAATTTTAAGACCTTGAGGTTTGGCTCGACCACGGAGATCGAACCCGTGACCTCTCTCTCCGCTTGGCAAGCCCTCTACCGGTTAAGCTAGCCCTGTTTGCTGTAAAAGCGGCGAGGTTAGTAGTATGTTGACTATAAAAAATGTAACTGACCATGGTCAAATGCCTTATGAATAGCGCGCCTCCTAGCTTCGCCCCTTTTAGGAGGAGGATGGTGATATCACACGTCCTAATGATTTTTCATGTCTTAGGTGAGAAATATCATGAGACCAGAATCATACGAAAAGGTGATTAGGAACCAAGAGGCCGCCAAAGAAAACATCAAAGTTGCTGAAAATCAGCGCCCGCGACAAGTGGTTGAAGCGAACACCGAAAAGGAGGAAGCCCGCGCGCAGGCAAAGATTACAATCCAACGGGCAGAGTCTGAGGCGAGGGTTTCTTTGTCAAAAGCCCGAGCTGAAGCCGACAGTATCCGAGCGGCCTACGAAGCCGAGACGAATGCATTTTTAAAACTCAAGGAGGAGAGTTTGAATAGTACTGAAGGGTTGTTGTCTTATCTGGGTGTAAGGGTCATTTCTGAGAATAACAATACTGTTAATGTTGCTTTCGACGCTCCAGCTAGGACTAAGTTTACTTACAATTAACGAGGGTCCCCAATAGGGTTCTTCAATCCCGTAATCCTGACCTAAGATTTCGAGCAATCCCGTAATCCCGAGGGCTATTTTTGGCATCCTACCTCCCGCGCATACTTTTAATCCCGAATCCCTCCCTGATTTTGCTGTAAAATCCCGAATCCCGAGCTTCAAACTAAGGAAATCCCGTATCCCGGAAAACCTATTGAGGACCCTTATTAATTAACGAGTTCCCGTCGCAGCAATGGAGGGAGAGTATCAAGCAAATTTTCTTTAGATTTCGTTTACACCGGGCTAGAATTATGAAGGTAGTGAATCTCATTTTTAAGTTTTAAAACTTGCTTTAGTTTCGTAGAAGGGTAGATGTCATCGTATACAAGTAATAGCTGTAAGAGTTGTTGCTTTTTGATTGAAAAAAATAAAGCTTTTTCTTGGAACAGATGACATTTCTTGCCAACCAAACGTACCTTATTATAGGAAATTAACGCTCTATAAAAATAACGCGAATCGTCAAAATTCGCGTTAATTTTGTTGAGCGTTAATTTCCGCGATGTTAATTAAGTGCAGCGTTAATTTCCGCGCTCTTAATTTCCAGTATTTTAACCACAATTTTGAAACCTGTCCAGACATTCTTGACACCTGAAAAACATTAACTACAAGCTTTATTCTTTCTATTTTTTCATCTTTCACAAAAGCTAAGGCGAAGGTTTACAATATTTCGAGTTCATCTTCATCGTTGTCGCTGTCAGAAGTGATGTCAGCTCAGTTTTGTACAGTTTTGAATTTTTTGGCATCCAGTGTTGAAATAAATTTTTTTCCAGTTTTCACCACCAACTGTCTCTTAATCGCGTTAATTTCCTTCATTATGAAACTCTACCTCCTCTTTCGCGTTAATTTTCTTTATTCGAAAGTCGTTTTCCATTAAATTCGCGTTAATTTAAGTCGCGTTAATTTCCAATACCTTAATTTCATTGAGCGTTAATTTCCTATAATAAGGTATGCAAATGACCGCTGCGTTGCATCAGCTCCCTCAGGCAACTCCTCTCAGGACGTTTCTTGAGACAGCTCGAGACGTCCCGAACTGTCCCGCGAGTATGCTCTATTTTGAGATTTAGAGACCAAAGTTTACCTCTGAAAGATTAAGGTAAAAATCTTTAAATGGTCTCACCGATTTGCGCTCAAAGGAAAACTTTGGGAGCAAAAATAGTGACCTTGAACGACATCTTTGTTATTTGCAATGTATACTAAGTAAACTTTCAGGTGGACTGAGACTACGGTTATTAAGTTTCCCATTGTGGCTTGAGTTCAAAACGTTATGAAAATCCCTTTTACATTTCACAAGAATATATCTGATATTCAGATATCCACGTTTTCTTTTCATAGTATATTAGGCAATTAAACATGGTAGAATAAAAATGAAAACGGATCACGTCTCTCTCAAAGTTCCGTTGCGCTGTTCCTCACCGACATTAATCGTCATCCAGCTGGTACTGAAATTGGCTTGATTAACGGTTGTATTTGGCTCTAGATAGCGACTCATCTGAAATTTTCAATAGGCAACACTCTGCCGGCATTGCAAACGAGTCAAGAAGTTTTATTGTATTTTTATCGGTGTGTTAGACTCTAAAACAAAACAGTTAAACCTCGGGCTTAATACGGCACCAAAGGAACAGATATATTAACAGTTTGAACTTCAAATCTGTAGGTCCTGGTTCAAGCATTGCCACCGCATTGTCTACTTAAACAAAAACTTTGCTCTACTTTGTAGAAATAAAAACCGGCGAGATATTCCTAGAACCCTATGGTGGACTAACATCCCGACCCATAGGGGAGTAGAGATACTTCTACGTGCTTCATACTACAGAAACTGGGTTAATCTAAAGCCGTCAGGTCGGCCTTTGTCATTGCCGTAAAGGAACAGGGCCAAGCCAGTGTGTACGCTTTCCAAATGCGTCTCTATTTATATCGATGGTGTTGAAGTGAATGACTTTTGGTCCATTGGCGACGAAGCAAAGGGAGAAGTGTCCGTGTGAGATATCCGTGAAGGTGTCCACGCGTACAGAAAGGTTCGACTGTAGTTCAAAACACTGAATTACTAAAAAATGCAATCGTTATTTCGTAGATGACGATTATGGTGAAATAAAAGGCTATCAGAAATCCATCAGAATTTTTTTTTACTCTGCACTAATAATATATGTGCCAAAAGCAATTTGAAATTTCCCAAACACCCCCGCATAGCACCAAAGGGTACCGTTTCATTAACCCTTGTGTTCTAATTCAAATATTTTAACAAACGTTATGGGGTCAATCCTGTCGCGTCCCTTCGAAATCCTTTCGTTCCGGCCAAAACGAAAGATGTGGGCTCTCGCAGTTAAATTTATATATAAATACAAGTCTTTTTAACTGAAATTGGAACGACAAAAACTTCTTCTACGCTTAATGCGTTTTATTCTAGGTAAGCTGAGCTTATGCCTTCTCTTAAGATAAAAACACTGACCGCGCAGGGTGGCTATTTAGTTCTGTGATATTCGTCGCCTTTCCTGGTTCACAAAAATAATCTGGGCACCCGTCAAGAAGTTTAAGTTTCAAGTACATTAGCGAAAAGGATAAAAGCTAACACACATATCAATGTAAAAATCCTTTCAGTCAAGGTCGACCTTTTATGAGGTACAACAAGTCACTGAAGTTATTATTTTTTTTTCAGATAAATTAAACCTATGTCGACTCTGCTCTAGTGAGTTTGAAAGGGTGGCTAGGTCGGCGACCTCGAACGATCTGTTAAAAAGTGACGGAAGTGAAGTGATTCCACTTCTTTGATGACGAATCAATAGTTTTGTTTCATTCCAGAATGTCACGATTGCTTCTTGTAATTCTGTTCACATCAGCGTTCCAGCAGTGTCACCTTGGCTACTTTCGCTCAAATGTTATGTATAAACGGGAGCTTGGGAACCTGGCAGCTTCGTGCAATGACGGATCAAGACCTGTGTATTACTTAGGGCACCAGAATCCCACAAAGTGGATGATCTTCTTGGAAAGTGGATCTTACTGCTTGACGAAACGCCAGTGCATTGAAAGATTTGGTAGCAAGATCACACACGCTTTAATGACATCAAAGCATTTCCCAAACTCAATAACAGGCCGAGATTTGCTGTCGAGCGATATAAATACCAACCAGTTGTACTACGACTTTTCTCGGGTTTTGATTCCTTACTGTAGTAGTGATTCCTGGCTAGGCACGCAAACAAGATTTAACGTATCCAGCTCAAAAGACGTAAGCACCACAAACGAATTCATTTTTGGTGGGAAAATCATTTTTCAAAGCGTGATTTTGGAGTTATTAGGTCACGATTTGAATCGCGCCCGCGAGGTTGTCTTTGTTGGAAGTAGTGCTGGAGCTATTGGCGTATTAAACCACGTAAAATGGTTAAAAAATATTCTCCTCTCCATGAACGCAAGCACAAAGTTGTCCGCAATCTTTGACAGTGGATGGTTCATAAATTTTCAAGAAAGCATCACGTCAAGAATGACAAAGGAATTCTACAGCGTTGGACAACCTTTGTCTCGCGCATGCGCCGATTTTTCATTCGGATTCCCATGTTGCCTGTCAGCACCTTGTATGATTGCACAGGGATACTACCCTACAGACATACCAACTTTCTTTATTCATAGTATGTTTGACATCTATATCGTCGGAGAAGCTGTTCGTCGGTTTACTGATAGAGTCTTTATGGCAGAGAATGGAGCATCTGATCTTTTAACCATGGTTGAAATGTACGGAGGGGCGATGAACCAGTCACTACTTGTTACTTACTCATCAAACATTAGCTTTTTCGTCCCGGCGTGTTTTCAACATTCCTTCTTTAGTATGTCGAGCTTAAGAGAAAAAGGAGGCTTGTTACAATACAACCGACTGTTCACTCAAGGAAATGCTGTATTCAGGTATGTATCACTACAACAGAAAAAGTCCAAAAAGTGCTCTTTCAATACTGCGTGACCTTTGCTTTTCAAAAGGCCATTTGCATGATTACGTCATTTTACTACCACGGCCAGGTTCTTCCTTCAGGTTTTTGCTTTCCTGCGCAAATTAGGCCGTTTGCTGTGAAAACTTCATGTGTCTTTGTTAAAACAATGGTATTTGGACGTCATCATTATTACAAAAATTGAAGGCCTGGGAAATCTCCATAATTGACTTAAAGTTCGTGCAAGCATTCCCGAGCAAATTTTGCGTATTAGGTTACCTTTTGGTGTTGATAAAGAATATTGCTTTCTGGGCACCCTCAAAGGTTTTTATTCATCTCTTTTCATTTTGTAATTTCACTGCAGAACTTTCAAAATACCCGGGATGTGGTTATCCTTGGCAATACGTCGCGAGGATGAAAACGTGCGTCTGAATTCTACTCTCCTTAAGTGGGCCAAGTCACGTGACAGAACTGTACGGGTGACTGATAGTTGTCTTGGACCGATGTGTAATCCGACGTGTCCCGAAGTATTCGCTTTCGTAGACTCCGCTGTTCAATGGAGCGATTTCCTCAACGGAGTGGTCCTTTTTATGAGTTTGGTAATGACTGTGTTAAGTGTTATCCTCAAGATAGTCTTTGTGGTTAAGTTTGCTCTGCTGAAAAGAGTTCAGGAAAGATGTCTTAAACAACATGAATCAGTAAAGGTAAATATTCGGGGATCTGCGCTGAGTGTTTTTAACGTAAATAAATGTGACATCAGCCCACGCACACATTCTGAACCAATGATTACGTGACTTGCTGAATAACATCATCATCACTCCACTATAATCGTCAACCCAATAGAGTTTACCCTGTCTTAATCAACATTATCACTACGACATTAACGTCATCATCATCATCATCATCATTAGCAGCATTATCATTATCGTTACCACTATCATCATCATTATCAACATCATCGCCACCATCATTATCACCATCATCATTGACAGCATTATCATTATCACTATCATCATCATTATCAACGTCGTCACCATCACTATCACCATCATCAACAGCAGCAGGATCTTAATTCGCCATTTTCGTGGTCATCATTATCATTTTCATTACCAACATAATAACATGATTATAATCGCTATCATTGAGCGTTTGTAATTATTTCTTTCTCTACTGAGGGCTTTGTTGGCGAACCAGCAATTCCCATCAACCTTGTTTACTCATCACCAGACGTTTCTACTCATTATCGATGCTTACTTGACGCTAAAAAGACTCACCAAAACATCGGGCAACCAAGAAAGGCCCATGAGGACAAAGCCCATGGATACATTGCTAAAGCTCATGACACAATCTTTTATGGAACTGTGCAGTATTTACGTGCAGCATTTGGAAAAAATATTCAACGTCCTGATGATGAAAACTCTCATGAAAGACAGTTCAATTCAAACAACATTCCGAGACGTAAAGAAAGTGCGGTCCCATTAGTTAACGGTTTCAAAGAGTCGGACGAAGGTGAAACTGCAACGGAAAGTATGGAGGTAAAATCAAGCAGAGATTTCCATACCCAAGGTATTCATAACGCAGCATTGAGGTTCAATCAGGGTGAGTTTATTGGTATAGTTGGAAACCAAGGAACAGGAAAAACAACTTTATTGCGGCTTCTAAGTGGACGACTATTGTGTGGATGCAAACAGGTAAAAGGCACAATGAGATTAGGGGTGTAGTTGGGATTTTTCAGTGGGAAGGTTGTGTGTGTATTATGGGGGGGGAGGGGAGAGGAGGTCACTATTTGTCACACCCATCGTTCTTACCATGTTGCAGAAGAAATTTTAACTAAGTGAGCTTTCAAACTGTCTTTACTGATTTCGGACAACCTATAGACCTCGAGTTAGTGACCCTAATAACGGAAATATGTAAAAGCGGGAATCTATTTATGTTAATTTTGTGTGGTTTATTTTGGCCGAGAATTTCGGATTATCGGTGTGTCCGTTATTACAAGGTGTCTGCAAGGCCAGAGATGACAAAAGTCACAGCGGAACAGTTGTCACAAAAGTTGTTTTAAAAAATTGTCTCAAAAGCGAACGGTTGCTGAATACCAACTGTTGAGTTGTGGCCGAAGAGTAACGCGAAAGGCATCTGCTTGAAAAACAAAAATTTACCGAATAAATGGCGGATATTTGCTGAGCACTTTTACTAATAATCCTTTTTCCTTCTGATTCTTAAGGAACACTTGTTTATCAACTACGAGGAGCTAGCTAAAGTCGGTGATAGATACAGAAATAAAACTGTCCAACTGTCGGAGTTTACTGTGCCTTACTATGGAAGACTTAGGTTGAGACAGTACCTCACACATAGTGCCTTGATGCGGATGGCTGGGAATGACAGCATAGTGGTGAAACGAGTAGAGCAAGTAATCTATGAGGTGCGTATCAAAGACTGACAACAAATGATATAGTTATTTTGAAATTCACAATAATAGCGAATATTCGGCACGTTGACGTCATCAATGTCCAAACTCTAGGCAGTAATGGGCTCTTAAAACGAACATTTCTTTTATTGGAGTTTCAGTGCTTGTCGCATTTGTATAAAAGGACATGATGTTCAAAATTTTCAGTGCCAAATTTTAGCAATCTCGTTCTTTGTTTTTTGTTTTTTGCGGATTTTTTCCTTTGTTTGTTATCTTATGTCCAGTCAATTGTGAAAAAAACCTATTCTTGAAATTAAAAGTTGAGCGTCGACGAGTCTTCCTGATCCATTCTGATTTAGGCTTAAAATTTTAACGAAGTCTTCCTTTTGCCCATACAATATTTCTAAAGGTATTGTCCCAACTGTGCTTCAATATTCATTATCTTTTAGACGAAACTTACCACAATGGCGGAAGAAACAATGGATGGGTCATTCAAAAAGAGGTTTACTGAACTGCAGGTCTGTTTTTGCGGTTCTTTCTTTGTAATAAAAATCAAATTTCTTTCGGACAAGAATTGTTTTCTTCTGTAATTCTGAAAATACTTACTTTGATTGCAGACACGTCGTATCTGTTTAGCAACGCATCTAGTCACCAGACCTCTCGCCATTTTTATAGATGAACCAGTGGCAGGTACGTCATATAAAAGCGGACGTGAGTGACCCTAAGTAACATTCCAGAAGCAAATTCCTCTTCTATTACTAGAGCGAGTTCTCGCCTAACCAGTGAGCGTTCCGCAGACCTGGTGTTTTGGCCAAAATTTCTATATCTTGGCTATTGATGAATATAATGGTTCTACTTAATCTTTTCAGGCCTAAACCCTGTGTCGTCTTTGGAAATGCTTAATACTCTAAGAAGACTCAGCGATAATGGACACTTGGTGATAATAACATTGAAATCTCTTCCACCAGAAACAGCTGGGCTGTTCAAGCAAATTGTTTTATTATCTGATCACCAGGTGGGTAAAAAATGAAAAGGAATTTGTACCTTTAGCGTCGTTTTCAGTGGCTTGTCAGAGCGTCGCACACTTAAAATAAACCAATCATAGCTCGACACGTGGCTCGACGCCGGGGGAAGAAAAGTCGAACAAAAAAAGTTAGCTCTCGCCTCTGATTGGTCGAGAAAGTGGCGTGTAATTTCTTAACCCAATCATTGATCTTAGCGTAACAAAAGCGCTTCACTATAGACAAATAGATGCCCAATTTTTAAGTTTCAAGGTGTTTGTTACTGATGAATTTGGGCAGTTTCACTGAGTATGCCTTAAGTATAACTTGTGTGTCTACTTTAGGTGATTTTCAGTGGGAATCCGTCAAGCCTCTCAGAACATTACAGCCTCTTGACGGATGAAAAAACTGAGGACACAAAGGGATTAGAAGGCGAGTTTCTATCGTAGAGATTTATTATACTCGAAATTGTGTTTTTTTTTTTGCGAATGCTTTGTTTTTTGCCGCTTTGTATGTTTGAATAATCGAGTAAGACAAGAAGATGTCTTATGGCTCGTAGACGTCGTGCACGATTACTCGCAATGCCGGTTGATGGGCCATTTCCGAGTTACTCCAAGCCTCTGTTTCACGGCGAGGCTAAGTGCGAAGCTATTGATATCAAAATGATTTTTCATTTTCATGCAAATGTTGCGTGGGGCCTGAGCCCGAGTTGAATCGGACATGCGCAGTTTAGTAGACCTACCACTCGTGTAACTGTTGTGCTAGTTTAGTAAAGTGTTCCAATGCTAGCAGTGCTATTTGTGTTACACAAATAACACTCATTTCCACAGGACAAGTTTTGCAATTAGCCTCGCCTTTGAATTTCTGAAACTCAAAAAATGGCCTTATGTATCGTGCGTCTACGCCTGACATTTTTGCATCATTACAGTAGTAGAGATATTCGTCGTCTCTGACGTCAACCTCGTTCTTAGGTTCTCTCTTCTTCCCGTCCCCATGGCACCCTGGGAACGAGGAGGCGTATAAAGATAAGACGCACTTAACGTCGCTTTTAAAAGCAGGACGTTTAGTGCGTCTGGGTGTCCACTTCTGTTTGGAAGAAGAAGAAAATGTCCTTCCTAATAAACTATATTCTCTTGGACAATCATAGAGAGAACTTTCAAAGGTCAAAAGAGATGGATAAAGTCTTTTCTTAGCCTTTCCGCTCTCAGTTGTGCTTTTCCTGGAGGCATGGCATACGGGACTGTTAGTGAATTATACACAGTTAGGCACTAGTAGACCAGTTGTGAGTTGCCAGTATTCACCAGCTGACGTTAGGATTTTTCAACATTCTTCAGAAATTGTATTAGAAATTCTTCAAAATAAAAAGATGACAGAGGCCATGATGACGGAAACACATGTCCAAACTAGTGCCGAAGAAGAAAGAATTACGCTTCCCAGCAAGATGGATAAAAATGTGCTGCTATCAAAGTCACAAAACTGGTATGTGGGCGTTGTACTTGGTGGAAAATACACTGAAATACACTTTCACCTGTTTGACTACGTAGGCTTAGTCTCCAGCTATGGGCGTCTCGATGCCCCCGCGATACCCTCCACCCTGGCGAATCGAGACACCCACGCCTCAGCCTGCGAGAGCAGACGTCTACTCTCGCGGGCTACCCACGCCCTGACTAAACGCTACTCTAGTTTACTTCATGTACTCATAACAGATTCTCTTGCTTTACAGCACCGAAAACAGTGGGACCTTTACGAGGTTGTTTGTAATAGACACCAGAGAATCGTTGTCACATACACTAGGAAAAAGCATGTACTTACCAATCATGTTTACCATAGTTGGTCTGACTGCTGGAACTGTTTACTGGCAGGAGGAAAGGCCTGTGTTTATTATAACTGCCTACTGTGGTGCCTCTATCCCCAGTCTCCTCTTGCTCGGCTCTCTCCTCGAGAAACAAATTAACAGGAGTCTGGAGGTAAGTGAAACAACCCTTGCCTAGTCCTTGTACGGCGTCTTCCTAGGCCTTCTGGGTCAATGCAAATCGGTGACGTATCCAACACAAACCATGTGACCGAAAACGCATAGGCCACGTGGAAAATGAGGCTTAGAGACTAGCTTAAAACCTTGGTTAAAACAACCGACAGTAAACCGCTGCTTGGTCTGGAAACAATTGCGGCACACATTTGGACTCCAGTCCTGTACTTGTTTCTAAAGTGGCGAATTCCATGTTGGTAGCCGATAATCTCGTTCCCATATGTCCCACGGTCATTTGCGAACCTACAGACACACGCCGGTGAGATCTGGGTTAAAGGCTAAGTAACCAAAGGACGCTGAAAGGAGCTTGGCAACTGGTCAGTTGTATGAAAATTTGTTTTTGTAATGTCCACAGATTCTTCGACTAGATTCGTCTGAAAACGTTGGATATACCCTCGAACACGTGATTCAAACATTTGCGACCACAACCGCCGCCTGCGTATTTCCAGTGGTTTTGTGCTCAGTTTTAACGTTCCTGATGGTATTGACGTCATATGATTGGTGGCGGTTTTTCCTGGTCACTGTCATCACACTAGTATTGAACCAAACGTGGATTGCAGTCTATATGATGATCATCTATGCGAATCCTAGCAACGCGTGTCACGCAACGCTTATGGTGGCCATTTTAGCAGGTTTTGCTAGTGGATTTGTGGTGACGCAAGAACAGATGCCTATAGGGTTAGTGAGTTCAGTGCTTAAACTGGTATTCTCTTCCTAGGGAGGGCTTCCCCGGAGATGGGAAGAAAGGCCTTGGGAACGAGAGTGGGAACAAGGTTGCAGGGTCTTGCATTGCAATGACCTTCTAAGGGCCATAGACAATTTGTGTCTTTTTTTTTTGCAGATTCAATTTGCTGTTCTACATCAATCCCCAGTTGTACGGCTTCTCTGCTATTACTAAAGTCTTGTTACGTAATGTTCATCTAAAGTGCGAGTTTGAATCCGCTCTGAACTGTATCAGTAAAGACGGCAATGCTGTGTTGGCGAAATTCGAGTTTGATTCAGTGAACCCTTTTGAATATATGATGGTTAGTGGACCTTTTTTTATCGTGCAACAGGAAACCATGCCTGTAATGTTCAATTTGGCAAATCATGCTCAATTATACACTACTGTTGTGATAGGCGATTTACCGTGTCGTATCACGCCTAATTACGTCGTCTGTACGTCATGCTGCTACATCAAGTGCACGTTTCTAGCACAATATTTCACGCAACATTCTTTTTGTTGCCAGAGACAATTTTTTTTCTTGTTAACTCACATGTGGTACTCATACATCATAGTTGAAGATAATTATTGAAAAACCTCTGTTACATAGTTTGGGTTTGTTTCTTTTAGATTATGCTGTGCTTCACTTGGCTATGTCTACTTTTGTCCTGGTTTCTCTGTAACAGAAAAGTATCGCGATGGCGCCGCTTAGCCAACGAACCGTAAGCTGAAAGAACGTCCTCTCAAAGGAATTATTCACGCCTCTACCACTCTTTCAGCTAGGACCTCACCTCCGGTGAGCGCCGAGAAGGACTAGGTTCTTGTTCTCAGGTTCCAGCGGCTCCAAAGGGTCGGAAAGCTACTGAGTGGTTTACAATCCGGCATAGGCAGTAATATTAACAGAATTGTTGCATTTTTATCTTTCTATTTGGCTGGGCCTCATATGTAAAGGAAAGAGTCTGTCACAAAAGCCATTACTCTGGTTGTATTTTTTTGCTGTTAAGCTGAAACGCTGTTATTAAAAAGAAGTCTCAACCTTCAGATTTTAGAGTTTGACTGCTGCTGGAAGAACTGGGAGTTTTCATTGACTGAAAAGCATAATTTCCTTTCATAATCTCAGTTTGTCACTGGGTCAATTTGCAAAAATCGTGACAAATACAGCATCGATTTAAACTCTGTTACATATAATTATGTAAAGTAGATTGATACCTGGATACTAAGCATCTTCCTGTTGTTTTCTTCCGCAATAATTCCACGCACACGGGTAACCTCGTCAACAGACTAGACTTGCAGGGAAGAATGGTTGAACGACAGTCTCGTCATTTAATCTCTGCCCGGTCCTATTTCACGCTTCGCCCTTATTGCGCTTATCCTAGTCCCAGACCCCTTCCCGAAACACGCGGTAATTACCATGCCCAGATAAAAAGGTTTTATGTTCGCCCCTTTTGCATTCAAGATTACGGTTCTATTTGCGAAAATAATGTACAGTAAAACTATTTAGTCGAGAAAATTCCAAAACTCAGAGTAAAAACTAATAGTTAAAGAAGCAAAGTTAAGTGGCCTTTATGGTGAGCTAGGAGCTACCCTGACTGTTTCTTTGGTGTTTCAAATGGCATCGGACACGAAGAGTACTAGTTACTGAGACTTTCAAGAGTGGGCCATTTTAGTACGAGCCGGCTCCTGGCCATTTGGTGGTGCCTTTTACAGTCATCTACGGTTACACGTTACAAAGAAGCATTTGTACACCTAAGATAACAAAAAACAAAAAAAAAATTAAAGAAAATTAAGTGATAGTTGTTATTTTCACGACTTAGAAATTAATTTTGACGCCAAGGTGAAGAGAATTATTAAAATCGCTTCAACTTCCAAATGCAGCGTTCTTTCGCGCCAAAATATGATCATCACCCTCCCCTCCCTACCCCCGTAATGCAACGTTGATTTCGCCCACAAAGACTTGTGGGAGTCTGTTCCTGTATTAGTCCACGTCAACAGAGCAGCGGCCATCTTGAATGAGGACAGAGGCTCGTGATAGTTTTGTAGAAAATATCCAAGCCAATTTTATAACATGGGAGCTGGGCAATCTGCAGATATTCCTGGAGGTGGATCTGAAGGATACCATGTTCTCAGGGTAATTTCACGTCCGATCTACTTTGCACTCTTGTTTTGTGCTGCTCTAGTTTAAAAGTTAATTTATCATGGTGAGCTTACGTTGCATTTTCAAAAGGTGAGCTTAGTGGTTTATTGGACGATTTCTTTCTTGTGCTATGTTCTAGGTTCAAGAAAATTCACCTGGATACAAGGCTGGGTTAGAGCCTTTCTTTGATTTCATCATATCGATCGAAAATACGAGACTGGTAGGTTTCTAGTCTGGCAATTTATAATGTTTATCTCAAGCTTGTTTTAAAAGTTAAAAAATATATTTTACTTTCTCTGTAGTATAAGTGAAATAGCCTGAAACTCTTGATAGTATAAAGAACAATTATTTAAGACCTTTGGAAAAAATAGTCGCTTGTGTCATTTCTTAATAACAGATGTCTCTTTTTGAGAGCTTGAAGGAAACTTATAATTAGAGCACGTCATTCCCTGCAATTGAATCAGCTGTGCTCATGACAGATGGTAGCAAATTTGCAACCACAGAGTGTATTGTCACGTAATAAAACTTTTGTTGCAGAACGAAAAAAGTAATTATAATGATAATTATTGTAATAATTATATATTTAATTCTTATATTTTTTATTTTATTGTAAAAGTGTTCAAATAAAGAAAAATATTGTACTAAGATTCACAAGTTAGAGGGATAAATCATCTGAACATAAATTTTTGTGTTATCACAAAATGCTGTGATTGGTTGCAAGCCATCATTGATGAACTTAAAATGTATATATAAAAAAAACAAGCATGCGATCACAAACAAGATAAGTAATACTGGAGAGCTCCTCCTTATGTTTTTTTTCTCATTCTACATTTGGTGCACACACTCTTCATGTTTTTATTTAATGTCGTCATTTTGTTCGTGCATTTAGTTAGTTTTTTCCTCTACATACCGATGATCCTCTAAAAGTAATGAAAGCTATTTGTTTGAACTTGCCAGCTTGGCACTCAATATGTTTTTTGGAACTTCATCAAACAATAATTGATTAGGGACTTGTCAGAAATTAGCAGGGGGGGAGGGGGGGTGGAAACAGAGGGAGGGTCACAACTTTTTGAAACTGTAGAAAAGGGAGGGGTCATGAAAAATGGGCCGTTAAAAGGGGGAGGGTCATGCAAATATATGCCCATGATCATGTAGAGGTTCACCCACAAAAGAAAAAAGAAGTTCTTTATTTTGTGAAAAAAACCTGGGAGAAATAGGAGAGTCGAGTGATCAACTGCCAGAATCAGAGTCGGACTCTTAATACTGTCATCTAAAATGTCTGTATATGGCGTTACAAAGAACAGATTAGAAATATATTTTGAGCTTTCATAATACTGACTCACCCTGGTGTATGACAAGAACTAGTTTTTGTTATTTATACAAGAGGGGGAGGGTTATGATATTTTAGGCCATGGTCAAGGGGAGGGTTAGCAAATTTCACTCCCATTGCGGGGATGGGTCACCTCATTTCCTAACCCAAATTTAAAATTCCCACCCCCCCTCCCCCCCTGCTAATTTCTGACAAGTCCCTTACTATTGTAATGCTTGGAAGGAAACAAAACAAACACAATAAATTTTGAAGCCGTAGTATTGGCTAGAATGAAAATATAGATGATAGTGCAAGAAATTAAATGAAATTATTATAAAGGAAAGTGTAAATACAGTTAAGAAATTTTTCTCTGTATCTTGATACAACAAGCCTAAAGAAACACAAAAAATCCAGGCATATTGAATATTTTTATTTTGAAGCTTTGTAGTGAGTTGTGAATTGAAAAATGTTTATTTCACTTTTTTAGGACCAGGATAATGAAACCTTGAAGGAAATCCTTAAATCTAATGCAGAGAAACCTGTAAAAATGCTTGTTTTCAGTAGCAAAACATGTAAAGTTAGAGGTAAGATCTTGCTTGTAAGAAAATTAATTTTGTAACTACATGATAAAAAATAAATGCTGGCAATTTAGTTATTGTTTCATCTTCTTGACAATTGGCCCTTAATGCCTGGTTGTAAGGTAAAGGTCCTTTTGAACTCCACTGTTGCAATTGAGGCAAAGAGCTTTCAAAAGAAAAGAAATGCTACCACCCATTTGGAATAAAGTGCATGGCAAGTGAAGTTTCTATATTTGTGCTGGATTTTGCTCCTCAAACTTACATCTGTTATTGAATTGTGTTTCCAGAGGTAAGCATCACACCAAGTAGTTTGTGGGGAGGACAAGGTCTCTTAGGTAAGACTTACTGCAGTCACTTCTCTCCTAATGGACACCTGTATGAGATGGACACTTTGGTAAAACTGACACCCAGGGTTGGTCCTTGGTTTTTTTTTATTTCCTTTATTTGACTGTCTGTAAGATTGACAACACTCTCAGACAAACACTTGGTGGTGGCCCCAAGAGTGCTCATCTCAGAGAGAAATGACTGTACTGTATTTATTTATATTATTTATTATTTATATGGTTAGCACACTTATAAATTGCAGTAGTGTTTTTGTAGGGGTTACTATTAGATACATTCATCTTCCTTACGTTTGATGGCAGCTGACAAATAGCCATCAGACTGCTCAATCAGTGAGGGAGAATTGTCAAACTTGATAAGCTTTCACTGTTTTCTTTTCAAGTTTTAGTGTTTAACAATCTCTGTTTTTTCTGTTCTTTTCACAGGTGTTAGCATTCGATTTTGCTCTTTTGAAGGAGCAAATGAAAATGTCTGGCATGTCTTGGTAAGTTTGTATGTAGTTCCTCTGCAAGTCTTGTCATCATCATTCCAATTCTCTATTTTTAACACCCTTTCTTTTAAAGTACCAGTTTAAGACTTAAATTGAATATCATTAATGTATCTCTTATAGGAAGTTCAACCAAACTCACCTGCAGACATTGCTGGATTAAGGTCAAACACTGATTATATTATTGGAGCTGATTCTGTTCTTCATGAAGTAAGGGTTACAATTCTCCTGTAGAACATTGTTTTCATTGAGTTTCTTTGTTTCTTGCTTTGGAAGATCTCATGAAGGTTTTTCCTTTTTTCATTTTGTAGTCTGAGGATTTATTTCAACTGATAGAAAGTCATGAAGGCAAAGTACTTAAGTTGTATGTTTACAATTCAGAAACAGATGGCTGTAGAGAGGTAAAGTTTTTGCTAGTCTGAAACAGTACTAAAGAATGTGTAATTTCATTGATTCATAGAGGGCTCTGAGCGAACTAATGCTTTTCTTTGAGACTGGCATAGTTTCAGTCAAATGATACATCTCAGAGGGAGTTATGGTGAAGAAAAAATAAGAAAAATAAGCTAAGAAGGGAAATGAACTTGTGTAAACCTTGTTTTGTTGCTTTTTCTTTTAAAATTGTAAACATGTTCTTTGTTTGTAGATAACAATAACACCAAACAGAAACTGGGGAGGGGAAGGAAGGTAAGTTTTTGAATCCTGTTTATTTTAGCACACTGGAAACTTAATGTTGTGGATCCCCTCCCTCTCTGGAAATTCCAGTTCATACTTGTGATCTCATATCATCTGATTTTGAAATCACACATAGGATTTTCCAGTTTAGCTTCATACTTTCCTTTTATAATTTTGGCCTTTAAGACCCCCTCCCCCCTACCCCATCAAATTTCCAGTGACCCTTTGTATGGTGGGAATAAAATATTCATATTTTCTTGGACCACCATATACACGTAGCAAAGTGCCAGGAGATAGAGAAAATGTGTTTCTTCTAATTGTGTTATGTTATGTTTGGTGTTATCCAGAATATTTTTACCATAAAGTTCTAGGGCAACAAATAGAGCCGAGGGTGTACACCTACCCCCAACCCACCCACTTTGTAAAACATGGTGGTCATGAAAATTATGGACATGATCACACAAGATGAATTTGCTTGATATTTTATGAACTCCTCCCCACTACTTCTGTGGGAAATGAATACGGGCAACAAATGAGAATTCAAATTTTGATCGTAGGGTTTAAGGGTTAACTAAGATGAGCAAGAAGTGGGCCCTGCACAGCACATGACTCTTCTTTATTTTACAAAATGGTATGACTTCATTTATGTTTGCTTTACATTTGTTTTATTCCAGCATGGGCTGTGGAATAGGCTACGGTTACCTTCACAGAATACCAATCAAAGATCCCTCTGAACTCCCTCCTCAACTCAAAGCTTCACCGGCTCCTGATGGATTTTCTGATGTAAGTTAGCTCAGACTCTGCTTCACAAAGTTTAGAGTTGTTTTTAAAAAATTAAAATAATGATAATTCCCCTAAATGTTTCATCAGAAACACTTCAGAAATTTGTTTGAAACATTTGTTATATTTGTTAAGTTTACGTGCTACACAGCACCTTTATTTTATTTATTTAACCCTTTAACCCATTCGCTCCTAGAGATTTTGCCGAAAAACGCGTTTTGAAGCTAGTCGAGTGGTTTTCTGGTCACTGTTGTGCTATAAAGAGCTAAAACTTACCAGAAACTGGTTTACAGGTCGAACACTTCGCGGTCTTCCGATCCAGATGCAAAATATCAGCTTGCGAAGTTCGGGCATGCGCAGAAAGCAAAATTTCGACATAGTTTTTGGGTTTAAAAGTGACACAGCAGTCTTGACTTTTACTTTTCGCTTTCTCTCCTCCCTTCTTTTTTTGCTTTTCTTGCCTCATTTTTTTTTTCTCTTGCTGGGCATTTAGTAGGCTTGATTTTGGTGGGAAGAGTTTTTAGGAAAGCTTTTAGGATCTTAGGATTAGGCGAAAGGAAAGGTAGGTGGGTAATGGGACAAGATTTTCATGGAGATTTTCAGGTCAATGTCACGTGGTTTTTTGCTTATTTCTCCGGTGTCCTTGACTGAATTGTGCTCATTCTGGTATGGTTTGAAAGATCTCTTCACTCTGCACAAGTTAGTGAAGAAAGTTGTCCTGGACCGTTAAAACTGATGACGTCACAATGGGTAGAAAGGACCTGGATCCGCACGGGCGGTTACGGGCGGTTCAGGGGCGAATGGGTTAAGTCCCAATAGTGACCAAGATCAATTTTCTCCTAACACTATCCATACACTGTCAAGAGATACGTTATGAGAATAAATAAAATGATCACCCAAGAGAAAATGCCTTGATCTATTATCAAATTCTCTCAACTAATTCTTTAAAGAAATGTATGGAGATCAGTTTGGAGAATATGTATGTTGATACTGGGGCTTAAAGGGTTGATGTACATTTACAATGTATACTGTTGTCATTAGGTTCCCCTTGTTGGTCCTATGACACCACCCACGTCGGTACCTCTTGTTGCTGTTTCAACATCAGCATCACCAAGCCAAACAGCAGGTCTTGAGTCGGGAATGGTGAATTTGAATCTTAACAATCCTGCGGCTCCCCCAGCCATGAATCCATTCAGTACTCTCCCTGCTGTGTCTCCAGCTACCACAACAACTGGAGCATATCCAGTGGGGGCTCCACTGGTGGCACCTGGTAGTACCTCGCCTTCAGTGCCTTCATTCTCGCCCCAAATACAAGGAACGCCTGTCATAGGAGGATTGCCGCAGCCCTTGATTCCATTAGCACCAGTCAATACATCTCAGTCATCGTCACCACAAGCCCCAGCACCAGCTGAAACCTCCTCTGTCACAATAACAGCAACTGCAGCTCCTCTTATGACTGATATCACTGCCGGAGCAAGCCCAACTCCCTTAATACCTGTGACAAGCACTTTACCTACAAGTGGCGACATTGCAACGTCTTTCACACCATCACCACCACAAACGCAACCCATTGTTACATCATAGAACAGCATATAATATTTAAAATGATTTGACACTTACTGAATATATTAATAAAATAGTCCTATGAGTATTTGATGTCATAATGCCATGAAGGGTCAAAAGAGCACAGCCATTAGATTCTGGGACATTATGCAGCCCGTAGTTTATGGGGTTGTTGCATATACTTTGAGAGACCAGCCAATTTACTCTATGGAAGGTGTGTTTCATTGGCTGCATTCACACTAGAGACGGATTATCCATTGGATAATTCATGTCAGACAGGTAATACGTCTAAATTTGAAAATGAAATGGTCTTGATTTTAGATGGACAATCCGCCGGACTTTATCTATTTGTTTTTCCTCCAAATTGGTGGTGTTTGAAGATGGATTATTGGTGTCAGACGAATAATCCGTCTCTAGTGTGAAAACGGCCGTTAGTATTTTTGTACTGTTTTATGTGAATCTTGTGCAGTTAAAGTCCTGAACAGATGCTTAAGGTGTAACTTGCAAATGTGTGACTACTTTAAATTATTTTTTGAAGGAAGGTGTTGTGTGAAAATGACTTTCTAATGCAAAGAAACCACTACAAGACCTAACGTGAAGCTGACTTGATTTCTGAGACACAATTCTTTATTGTGTTCTTTCAAATGAAACCCCTTCAGGGTGACTATTGAGTGGAATTATTCTAAATTGTTCTTCAAAAAATGAAAGTTATTATAGGATTTTTCCTAAGTTTTGATTTGAGGGAAATTACAATCAAGTAACTTGCGATTGCAGAGGTATTTCTAGTGAGGCCCAGTTAGGGTAAATTCTGACAAGCAACATGGCCTTGAACAGCAGAAATGGGGGTAAACGACACAAAGTTAAGCTGAAACTGCGACAATGACAAGAGAAAAGCACAAATACAATAGTAAAATACGGACAGTGACATGGCTTCCTCCTCAATATGTGAAATGATTGGTTTTGAAATTCAGACGAGGGACATACATTACCACCCCTAAGAGGGCCTCTCCAGTAGGTGGACAGAAGTCAAATAGGTCTGTATCAGAATCAGAAATACGTATCAGAAATACGTCTGTGTTTGCAAGGTAGAAACCTAATAGAACAATGAATTATTTTGCATTGGTGGTGACAAGTTACTCTAAAGGTTTAAAAATTAACAGTGGTTACACTTTTGTCTGTCACTCTAATAGATTATAACATACTTCTTATTTTGTTTTATTTCATGGAAGAGAAAAAATTTGTTTTACCAGGTTATCACTCAAGATATTATTATGTTAGCATGCCATGTTAGCATGCCATTGAGGTTGTTCACCAGTTGTACAATAAGCTTGAGAATGATATTTTAATGACATGCTAAGTGCAGTGCCGCTTAAGTAAAATACACTTCTGTAATACAAACAACGTTATCAAGTGCAGTGTTGTCACATCTCCGCTTTTATTTGCATAATGCTTCCCATAAAATTATCCTTCTCAAACTCATCAGTTATTACTTACTGGAGAGCTTACGCAAATCGTCTTTATGAGAGAAAATACACTTGACATTTCAAACTTGGTAGCGCCAACGCATTTTAACCCTTTCACTGCCAGATTGTTTGATGGGGTTTTGTAAGGTGACTTTAACTTTTGATTCTATGGACGAAATCCTATGATGTGACCATTCAAATGAAAGCTCTCTGCCTGTACTTACACAAGATGCCATTTGTTTCTCAAAATTTTAGAAAATGAAATGTGGAACTTTGGTCGAAATTTGCCTTTGGCCACATTTGGCAGTGAAACGGTTAAAGAAAAAGCTTCTCAGTTTCGGTTGATGTTCGTCGCTCAAAGCGGTTTTGCTAAGCTCCCCATTATTACTAACAAAAGAACAAAGGGAATCTGATCTTTACTGTGAAGAGGGTTTGGATAAGACTTTCTTCAAATTTCTGAGTCACGTCCACTGAGAGCAGCGCAACAAAAAAGAAAAAAACAGAAAAACAAACAAAACAACAAAAAAAGTAAAACAAACTAAAACGATGTTTTATCATACTACCACAAGCCTTCCTTGGAATGGTAATAGTGATAAATATGCGTGGTGCGCATGCGTTCAAATTCTATTCCCAATCCGAACAACTGATCCACTAGTGCCCAGTCTTCACCGCCCCAGGTGTTTTTCTGCACAGGGAAACCTCCCGCTCGGTCCCAGTCCGATTTGTACATTCCTATTATTCCGTAGCCGTAAACCTGCCACTCACCCAACAAGTCTTTAGGGTTAGCTCCACAATCCATTTGGACGATGATTGGTGTGTAGATCATGCGGCCTTCGATGCAGTGCTGCGAGTGAACAAAGAATGCATTATTGCAGGAGCTTATAAAGAGGAGCCTATATCTCCAATACAAGCCCTTGGAGTCAACCCTTTCGCGAGAGGATCTATAAATAGAATGGTTCGCAGGGGAGGCTTCGCACGTCGACAGTGAACAGAACCAATCACATCGAAGAAATGACAGTCCTATTGTTCTACATCAAACAGCACATGTGCAGGAAATACGGTGTTGACAGGCAAAATACAATCATAAGCTCGAGAAACGCGACCTTAGCGTTTTGCTCTAGAACATCCCTCAGAGGTTTTCTGGCTTTTCTTTCTAGAAGGTAGTTTATACTGTGGAAAATTTTTAACTCTGACTGTGTAGATGTTAATTTTGGATGTTGTCTCACATTAAGAGGTCATGAAGCTGGCCTGTCTCATGTATATTTATTAATTATTTCCTACAGTTTATTGTCTGTAGTTCTGCCACGATTCGCTTTCTTTGGCCAACGTTTTAGGCGTTAAGGTTTTTATTTTAACTTAATAACCCTCTATATAAATCACGGTCCTAGTTTCATACGGTCTTTTCCGAAATGCGTTGATCTGAATAAATACTTGTAGTTGTTTCGTCTGTCAGTGCAATGATTCCCTGCTATATTTTCTAACGCCGAGCCCACAGTCTCAATCAAAATTGTTGGGACACTTTGCTGTCTTCTTGCCCTCCCAATGTTGGTTTGCAAGATTTGGCGAGTTAACTGTGATAACCAACATTGGGAGGACGTGGAGAGGGACCAGAAGTGAAAAAACTGCGTTGGATGGAAGTGTCCCAACTATTTCTGTCTGAATTGCAGCTATTGTTTTCTCACGAATAGTGATCTATTAGCATTAAGTTTAGTTTCATTATACCCAGACCCAAGCAGCTGTAAAATCTAAAAAACGGACGTATGGTTAAAAGGAAAACGGTCGCAGGACAGGCTCCTGACTTCCTCTTCAATTTCGTCCTCGTTTATTTTTTACGGTGACATACGAGACTCGCGGAAATGCGACACTTTTCGCGGGAAACAAACCGCTCTATTTATAAATCTACTCGAGAAAAGGTTGAGGTTGACTCAAGAAATCAGTGGAGATAGTCAGAGATAATTCCTAGTCGCCGAGGGCGACTAGGAACGACGCTGACGATTCTCATGATTCACTTGCGCAAAGTCGTGCGGAGGTCAGTTACTGACATATGACAACAAACTTACCTTTCTAATACTGTTAATAAGGGGACTTGCAATGTGCAAGTGAAGATCCACCATGAATATAATACTCTGTGGGTCTGATACCAGATTTATTGCCTCAGTAAATGACCTGGTCCGTGAGTATTCACCATCTTGCCTCAAAAACTTGTAATTTTGTAAAGAGCTCTGTTTTAATACTTTCTCCAAGTCGATGTCAGAGCTATTGTAATCGAATATTATCACGTGAAGATAAGGGTCTTCTGTTTCCCGCATAATCCTTTCCACGTTCCTTATAAAGTGATGAATCCATCTGCCAAGATTTTTAACTGTAACAACAAGGTAAACCGGTGCTGTTTTGTTCCACTCAAGATCCTTTGGATAACAAAGCTTCTTTGTTCCATTAGGCATGAAAACGTATTCAGAAAGAAGGACAGTTTTGTTGTTTGAAAGATCCCTCAATTCTGCATCAATCAGATACCTACTTCCCTTTATGGTATCAGTCTTTCGTTCAACACCTCTCACTTTCTTAAGAACAAATTTCCTGGAGTACAAAAAGAAAATAACAGCTAGTAACCTACTACAATACTATCACAGACGACTCTCTCTTGACGGATTCCTCGATAAGACGAATGGACACCTAGGGTTAGTCCCTCCCTTTCTTTACCCCTTTTATTTTACTGAGGGGAGGGGCAAATGAGGGGGAGCAGTCTTGACAAAAGTTCACGAACAACAATTTTGAGTTTCACAAAAAGTGTACTTGATCTCGGCCACGAGTTTGGGTGATCTCTGCGCGGCTATGAATTCCCTAGGAAAACCATCTGTAGGTGGGTCTGAGTGCACTGATGTGTGAAGTGACATCAAAAGTGAAGTTAAATCAAGCAGCCAGTTGCTAGTTATTTAAATCGTTGGGCCAAATTTATGAGCCTATTTCTTCAATTCATCTTGAATGTAGGTGTACAGAATAGAGGATTTTGGCAGTTCACGTTTCACGATTCAGAGAACAGTTTTTCAGTTAGTTCAGTGGACACCAAAAACGGTCGATCACGGTTTCACGAAAATAAGCTTACCCCCCTTTTACTTTCTATAAGACGGACATCAATCTCAAGGTGGATTTCCACTGTCAAGTAATTCTTACGAGCGTAAACGTAAAAGTTGAGCGAGGTCCAGCGCGACCTTTTATACAATGTCTAAATTCTAATTACGCAAGTAAATTTTAGGCGCGTAGGCGACAGAAGAACTCCACCCACACACGGATACTTTATATTGCCGTCCTTAATGGTATCCGTCTTAGTAAGAGTCGACTGTTTTTCTTAGAAAGGTTAACTACCCATCTTCATTAAAAGAAGAACATTAGGAGAGATACCCTTAAGTCATAGGTCCGATAATAGACTGGAACTGAATTGTCTTGAGTCTATGTACAGACGCACCCTCCTCTCCCCTCTACCCTTTTTTTTTAGGGGAGTGGGCGTCTGTGGACTGGCTATGGGGTTGTGTGCTCTATGTAGTCAGTATAAAATGTAGTTTGCGTAATAAGTTTGGATGCAATACAAGCATGAGAAGCAGTGTTTCATCACCAGATGAAACACTGAGAACGACGCGAAGAGACGTATTTTTGACGAACTTCAAGGTGTTTCATCTCGTGACGAAACACCGCTTCTCATGCTTGATATATTACTTAACAAATATTCCATACATCGTGGGTTTCGATCAAGTGACGACGACCCCAGTACCAACACCAAACCGGTAATTGGTAAGAATTTGGTATTCAGTGTCGATTTCGGTATTACGCGAAAACGAAGTCTCCACCCACAAAAACAAAAACGCAAACAAACAAACAACAACAGCCACAAAATTGTCATGGTCCTTTTGCGCGACTCTTTTCTTGTGGTTTCTAATACGCCCCTGTGCCCCCATGTTAAGAGAGAATTCACTTGGATTAACTGTCTTGAGAACAAGAAAAGTGTTTTTCATCAAAATTCTTATACCCACCCTGGTCTACTTTGCTCGAGCGACTTCATGAAGGTATCGACGATCTGAAACGCTTCTTTTTCATCCAGGGGAAATATCCAGTATTTCTGATCTTGAAGTTGTGGATGCTCAGGAAACGGGTAAATAAATGTATGTACAACATGATAAATTACCGCATGATATCTACCCACGTTGTGGTTGACAACATAGCTTGGGCTGTACTCACAATACGGCAACGTATCTTCAATTTCCTCGTGCGATAAATAGCTTATCTTTTCATAGACCTTAAAATAAGTCTCTCGATGTCGTCTAGAAGCACAGGTTGGAGAATCTGGTATCAACTCGTCGTATAATTTTACATGTTTAAAATTGCTGTCTTTGTGGTAATAAGATAGAAAGCTACTGTTTATAATTTGAAAATCATAATGCTGTGGTGCTTTCCACAGAACTTGTAGTTGGTTTGTTTCTTCAGAGCAAATGGAAATCACTTCTATGTAATACTTTTTTCCGCCTATCAACTCAGCTTCGCCAACATCTTTCTGCTCTTGTGAGAAGTCTTCGTCGCTGTAAATTCTTCTTGTGCGTAGGTTGGTCTCGTCCTGACCAAGCCAAATTTCGGCCGAACAAAACTTGACCTTGAAAAAATACAGTCCAGATGTCCACGGAGTGACAAAGCCGAACAATCTCAAAGTCTTAACGTTTGTTCCAATCTCGTCTGGATCAACCATTGTCCTGTTGAGCAACACCCTCGCGTCCGGCGCTTTCGGATACATAGGAAAATTACACAAAGCGTTTAAGTCTTTCGCGCATATTCCAATCCACACATGCAGGTTTAAATTTCCAGGCGCATTTTTCGACGCGGTTTTAGGCGGTACATCCGTAAAAATTTGAGTTGTTGTCAGATTAAAAACTAAACCAAATCTGGAAAAACGAAAAAAATTGTAATACGCGATGAACAATGATAAAGCAAATAGTAAAATGGCGATCTTAAAGGCGAGCGAGCGTCTTCGATAAATTGAAACCAAGGATGAAACAAACACAAGAGTTCTCATACTGTATTCAATTAAGGCTTCTTCCTTAATTTTTTTTTGTGCGTAAGGTGATCAAAAGTTATTACTATATAATTTGTTTAGTATGTTTACTTTTTGAGGCCACATTCTACAGAGAGCGAAACGGTTTCTATGGCGAACAATATACCAGTGGCTAAATGGCTACTCGAGAAGAAATTTAAAGCGATTATTTTGTAACTCCATTCTTGTTTCAACTGTATTTAACAAATTTCACCTTTTAGCCTTTCTAAATTCAGTTTTGAGGGATCAAAAGCACCAAATGCACCTACGGTCTCGCTCTTAACAGACCATATATCGCAAAAGGTTTAAAACTTCCAGTGTCTCGTTTTATACTTTCAGATTCAGGCAACATTTACTAAATATATAAATATGTATATATAAAAAATAAATACATAAATAAAATAAAAATAAATATATATATAAATATCAGAAACAGATTTCAGACAGTCTTGAAGTTTAATATGACGAAGTTCACCTTTTTTTTTTTTACATAATTTAAAGGTTCAAAGTATTATTTACCAAATTGTGCTTTCATAGCGATGACAAAGACTAACTATTCAGGAACCTAAATATAGATGCGACCAGAGAAAACTCGAATCTACGCAGAAATCCTTGGAAATGCAACTTAGTACCCTGCAACACCACTTTGTCGCATCTGAGTAACTTTATCCTTTTGGGCCCAATTCTACAGATTGAGCTCCATACAGAATACCTTACAGAATGAGTTGAGAGTATTTGCTAAAAGCTCAATGCACTTTCCCTTTCGTGATTATTTCATTCGTTTTTTAAAACTTTTTCTCTTGATCATACAGGGATATCGCTAGGAGGAAATTGATCACTCATCGGTCTAAAAGACTCTTGAAGGAATGTTGTTTCACTTTAGCATGCTCACCACGTAGCTTTAGCGAAATACCCCTGGGGGTTGTTATATAGCTGGAATTTTTTTCCCAACAGCGCGCACTCTCATTGGTGGCTTCGAGGTCACATGACATCTAACAATGAAACTGTTTCCCGCCAAAACCTCTAAGCGGGCAATATTGCAGATAATTCTTAGACAGACGGTTTGGAGTCTTACAACCCCTGAGAATTGGTCCACTTTGCAAACTACTGTTTCCAGAAAATGTAACCATCCCTACAGCGTCAGCCTCTACAAAGAACACCGATCGTTCTTTTTCACTTTTTACAATAATTCATGTAGCCAAAAGTTCCTGCAACAGGTTTACGGAGAAGAAAAGAAAATGCGAATGAGGCTGTCGCTTTAAATGTATTATAAAATAGCCATATTTTGTTTTCCACAAATATTGTGATCACCATCTCACGTTGATGAGGACGATATAGCCTGATGTGTGATCTCTTCGCCGGCCTCTACCAGTCTGCTCAAATAACATCGTCCACTGTTAACAGTTTTCAAGGTTTGTTCAATTTCTGCTTGACTGAAATAATGACAAGAAAACAATATATAGATTTAGCCAGGGCTAAAAGCGAAGCTCTCTTTAATATTTATAGTTTACTCAAACAAAATATAAAAACGTGTAGTGCTAAAGAAACGGTGAATTGTTAGTCTTTACACTAAGCTGTTAAGTAAGATTTAAGAGCTGCTAAGTTTTATTTAACCAAAGATACGTGTGTGAAGGACTAAGTAAATTCTAAAGTTATATTACTTTGCATCTCATGAAAGTCGAAGAGTTGAAACGATTCAAGAAAAGTTTCAAGTGACTTGAAAGCCATCCTCAAAACTTCACGAACTTGCGGTTTCTTAAGCTTTGAGAAACGCGAAGCATATCAATCAATTCGAGTTAGCGGGAAGTTCGTGTTATCGAGGGTTCGAGTTACCGACGGTAAATTTATAGTAAATGTATGAAGGAAATCCAGGCGAAATCGATTTTGGTTCGAGTTAGTTTGAGGTTTGAGTTAGCGAGGGTTCGAGTTGTCGGGAGTCAACTCTAAAATCCTGTAGAAGTTAAGTTTTAGTCGGACATTATTCCGATGAGAGATTGCTAATTGCTGCTTTTTGCAGGCCATAAAAAAAATCGTTGCCTTGGTCTTGAAAACAGGAAGAGCGCTTTAACGGCTGAACATATTAGGCTGATTTAGCAACAGAACGGGAACGCCAGTTGACGACCGGAAAGCGCGCGGAAAGGACTAAACACTACTTCCGGTGCTCAATTTGTCGCTCAGCCATTGGTCAAGCCAACTGTTTGATTTGCGAGCGCCGTCGTCAACTGACGTTCCCGTTCTGTTGCTAAGTCAACCTAATGACTGTGATCATACGAACCTGATATCACCCCACTGATGTGCCACCGTAAAACTAACTCCTTCAGGGTAGGACTCGAACTCTAGCTGTACATGAAGCACAAACCTGATCCTTGCCTCGAGACTGTTGAACAACACTGAAAATCTGCAAAGAGATACTTGTTAGAACCACTAGTCAGGCGAGTTAGCTAATCACATAAGCAAGGATAAACAAAAGTAGAAAACCATTGCAATGGGGAGTTCTAACTTTTGAGTCTGTGGATAAAATCCTATGGTTTGAACATTCAAATGAAAGCTACTGAGCAGTACTTTCCTGTGGTACTGTTTATTATAATGCTGTACAAGGTGGTTCTAACTTTTGAGTCTGTGGATGAAATCCTATGATGTGACCATTCAAATGAAAGCTACTGAGCAGTATTTTCACATCGTGTTATTAGTTTTTCAGTATTTTACAAACTGAAATTTGGGTTTTTCATGTGACTAAATGTCATTTAGGCAAAGTTAAACTTGAGCTAATGCAGCCAGCGGTCTTCCCCATCGACAGGGCGATGACCTGTGGGGTGGCCTCCAGGGGTTTTGCAGGGTTTCAAGGTTCATTGCTTTACAAGTGCAGTGTTATTAGCTGATCTTTGCTATCTCCTGCGAATTCCTGCACCCTCTCCTCCCTCCTGCTATTGTGTTTGGGTACTAGGGTAAGTATTCTTTCAGGTAAGCTATTTCCAGTGAATTATTTCAGTGTGACGGTGCCGGTAGGCGAGCGCTTGTTTGGGAGGTTCTCGCGTTCCAGGGTTGCAATGGATACCTCCCTGCGACTTATGGCCTGTGGCACCCCGCTGACCTTTAAGGCACCAGTTCCCATGCTCATCTAGTTGTGATGAGTCTAATTGAATTTTGAACAGTATACGAGCAGTAACAGCAAAAGCGCTCCTGTGCAGTAAAATCCTACCTGTTTCCTTCCAAGGTCGTCAGATGCTTCAGACCAATCCTGAAGAGCTCGTCGCCAATACATTTAGAGTCGTAGAGTATCCAGGACATGTGATACAACACCTAGCAATTACATACGGTAATTTAGATATATTAAACCACAACACTGTCTAAAAAACCTTGTATTATTATGTCAAGCTTTACTGGGCAAGATCAAATCGAAAAATAAAATATAAAAAAATAAAAATTGAAAATATACAAACGTAAAGAATTAAAACCCAAAAGGGATAGATAAAGGAATGTTTATTCACTGTCCATCATATTGAGACGAGCGTACCCCGGGTAAGCTGTTTCTCGTGGGACACATCTGTGCAAGTTTGGACTGATTTGTCCGCTGATTGATGGCTGTATGAACGCATCTCTGGTAGGAGTTAGTATGCTCTGTAAAGAATATAGAAATGTGCGGAAATCCTGATTATTAAATTAAATATGTAAACAGAATAATTATAAAAAAGATGAGGCAAATGAGCCCAAGGAAGCCAATAAGGCTTATAAAAAGGACCACTTTTAAAAACATAACTTAATTAAAAACATAACTTAATTAATGAATATAATACTGGCATCGGCAAGATAATTTAACTTACCTTATACAATTTCTCTACAACAAAGAAAATGTAACGATGATGACGATGACAGTGATCATGATGATGTTAATGAGGATGTTAATAATAATAATAATGATGATGGCGATAATGATGATGATGATGATGTTAATGATGAACATGACGTAACAACTTAAAATAATTTTGGTAAAGATGTAGAGCAGTGTTCAGCTATTGGACAAAAAAAGCGTGTATCGTTAAAAGATTCTACGTAATAAATCCTCAAAACTTAAGTGTGATTTATATCAGTAGAAATCTCAAACTTCATGCTGCTACATTGCTTACCTGAAAAGTTTAGCTGCAGACTTTGCACTTCCTGATCAGGAATACTGCCCTCCACACCTGAACGATGAAAATCTACAAATGTTGATAATGTTTGAAAAAAGTTGTCAGAATATATAACGTATTTCCTCTACTGAGCCACCGGCATCTAACATTACAAGCCAAAAATATTTATTACGAACGGAAGTTGTATTTGACTTTAAAAAAGCAAGAGTTAATTTTATGGACTTACCAGATCCTTCAGGTTTGAAGAAAACTACCACGTCCACTGTTCCTTTAAAGAAGGTGAATTTAGCATGCTCCTGATCCCATTCATCAAGTTCCCATTCTTGACAGCTTTAATAAACATTTTTAGAATAGAACACTTTAATAGAGAGCTTTAGATTCTAAGACGAGGACGACAACAACAGCGAGATTTTCTCAATACTAAGTTGTGCGAGCGCGCGAACCAGCGTCATTTTGGCGGGAAAATGTGATAGCCGTCGTCATTCTACTACGAGTTTTGTCATAGAGCGGTTTTCACTTGACTGTCGAAAGGGATTGGTTTTGGTTTTGGTTTTACTACGCCCTTTGGTTGGCTAGTGTATTTACTTTGGTTTTGGTTTTACGACAGTCAAGTGAAAACCGCTCTAGTAGCAAAAACAAGTTATCAAATGTTACGAATTTTATTATTAAGCGATCGGGAAAGGGCTTCACCTCCTTTAACGGAAATAAGCGTACTAATTTTTGTGGTGAAAGAAGGTACAAGCAAGCTTTCCGGGGTGTCTTTTTTCAGATAACAGGCGAGAGAACTTGAAATTAAACTCAGAGCTCTGAAGCTCTCTAACATCCAGCAAAGACCGCAATAAAACAAACTTCGTA